CAGCGTCGCGTGACTTCTGTTTACAAACTGATCCCTCAGCGACAGCTTGAGGACATCGGGTGGCACATTTGGGTAGGACTTGTGTGCCATAGTTTCCAAATCCTGTGCCAGCTCTTGCAGGCTCTCCCATTTAGCACGGACTCTCGTCCTAAACCTAGCCCTGCAGACTTCGGACTGATTTGGAGTTCCATACCTGAGTTCTAGAGCAGCTACCAGTGCTCTATAGTTGTGCCTGGCGTCTGCTGACAACTGTTCAAGTATTTTCAGTGGTTGTCCCTTCAGGCTCGTTGCCAGGTACACTGCTTTCTGCTCCTCTGTCCATCCATTCATTTCTGCCAGTAGCTCAAATTGTGGTCTATGTGCTTCCCATGGTGCCTTGCCATCGAATTCTTGTGGCTTCCTTCATACTAGATCACCCCTATTGCTATTGGAACTCAAAATCAGTCCGAAGTCTACATGTTGTGCTCTCTCTCCTTGTTCTTCTTGCCACTGTTGCTGACTTTCCTGTAGTTGTTGGAAACTTTCTTCCTGTTTCCTTTCGTGCTGTAGTCTCTTTTCTTGTTTCTTTTCTTTCTCCTCCAACCACTGTTGCAGTCTCTTTTCTTGTTTATTTTCTCGTTCTTCTTGTTTCTTTTGCTGTTCTTGTATTGCTGCCATCAAATATGCTAAGTCGTGGTTTGATTTGCCACTTCTCGTTTCCATCTTTTTTTCTTTTCCATATCACTCTCTGACACCAATTTGTTACCTGTCTGTTTGTCTGTTAATTTCCGGTATAAATTCTTTTTCAGGAACTTCAGCGATACAAGTTTTTTCTTAATTAAAACTAGTTTATTCTTTCTCGATACAACTTTGTAATACACAGAATTTCCACAGTCACTTTAAACTTAACAACCCTATAACACATTCTATAAATCACAGTGAATCACACACTTTAATTACAGTGCCTACTGTTCGCTTGACTCAGTTATCTATGTCTTCAATCTATCTATATATCTCGATCTATCTGCATATCTATCCCTCGCTGGCTTTATTTGCCAGGCTTATATACTAAAAAAGAGGGCGTTTGGCAAACACTCGGACATTCGCGAGGTTCCT